AATGATGATCTTCAAAACAACGTTAGGGCCCATCTCAAGTCATTGACGGCAACATTCTATGACAAGGGGATGGAAAGGCTCATCCACAGATACGATAAATGCCTCAATCTTTACATTGATTATGTCGAAAAGTAACCATGTTTGTACCTAACTTTTGGTAATATATTCATTTTGTTATTTACACTTGCCTTTTTTTATGGACCATCAGAGCTTGAAAAAAAAAAACAGCCTACATATCTCAGCTTATAATGTACAGTGTACACAATAAATGTGTTTTTCAAAACTGACTGATGTGACTTGTAGATTACTTAAGTTAACTCACATTTACAAACCTAATGAGTCACTGTGACTCCAAAATTTTTAGGTTAGTGCATTAACTATAGATAACAGAATCTAGGGTTACTATATATAACAAAGTATATATGTTACTGTGAAAGACCAAAATTAGAGAATGTTGACACATACAAAATACGTCGGTGAAAGTCCGAATATTTGGTTATATTATTATACATTCGAACAATCGCTGGTGTATGTCGACAAGTACAGATAAGCTTTGGTGGAGGTCGAAACGACATCTGAGAAGCCAATGTCAACAGAGAGGCGACAGTCTGTCGCCAAATCCTTTGTGGGTAGCCAGAGGTAGGACAAGGTCTTTTAATCCCGTGAGGTGGGGATCGGTTTGTCAGGTCGAGTGGCGGAGGATGAGAGGGGTCATTGGTAAGGCATCGGCAATATCCGAATAAAAGACACCATTAACAGATCAGTTTGTAATCACGTAATAACGTAATCAGTTCGTAATTTGTAAAGAAAAGTTACTTTCCATAAATGAGATTTCTTCTCAAGAAATATCGCTGAGAGAAGCAGTTGCAGCTAATTCGAAAAGAGGAGGGCAAGGCTATACAAGCTGTCATTGCATAAAAAAAGTGTTCCATGAATAAATGCAGTTGTAAAAGCAAGGGACTCTTGTGCAATTCAAAGTGCCATAACAGTTTAAGTTGTTGCAATAAATAAGATTGTATAACGTTAATCACATAATTTATGTGTAAGTTTATTATTGTATTATTTTCTTTAATGATTAAGAATGTACTGTTCATTTTAGGTTCAACAGTTTATTTAAATGTGCTGTTACTTAAGCTTTCTCCCATTTTCACATATTAAAATGTTGCACTTTTGTCTTAAAGTAATAAAAATATTTTTATTCAACATTCACCATCAGTGCATGCTGAATGTCGACATTTGCCGGTGTAAGAAATAATGATATTTAGCAAATATTTCGTACATACACGAAACAATTGTGTGAATGCTGACATTCACCAGAGAATGTTGACATTCGCCAGATATCGGTCATTCACAGTAACATATACAATAACTCTAGATTACTATTTAAATGTCACCCATAATCAACTGCACCAGTGTCTGTATGGTCACATATTTTTTTATGGACTGGTACCAAGTTTATATATTTTGTCCTTTTTCCCAAAATTTGATATGTTGGCAGATTACCATTTGATATTTGGCTGTGAATGGTATAGTTTCTTAGAGTTAACATTATAAAATATTATGAAATATGAAAAATTTAAGATAAATTTTCAATTCTTGTCTATGTGACCATTGAATTTGTGTCATTTCATACTATCTGAGAATCATAATAAACATGACAATAGTAGGCTGAAATAATCAAACTCTTTATATAGTTTTCATTTTAATGTTTGTTATATAACAGTATTTGATTTATAAAACTACAAAAGTTATCCAGGGTTCGTACTCAAATTTTTGTTTTGAATTCCCTGACTTTCCCTGATTTTCCCTGACCAACTTTGTCCAAATTCCCTGACCCTCACATTTTTTAGTGTGGAATATCGACATAAAAAAACGGCATTTACTGTGAAAATTGAATACATCTAGCCCTCTTTTTGCACGGTTGATATACTTCAAAGACTGCCACATTAAAAAAATAAAGTACATACATCCTGTAGAAACATGTTTGATAGAATCCACAACTTCAATGTAATGAAAAAATAAGCAATTTACAAACAAAACACAATTTTTTTTCCCTTTTTATTTTATCATCATTTATCATTATTATTTGTATGTAAATCTAGTAAATACAAGGTAACATAAAATCAACAAAAATTATTCTTTGATAAACAAATAGTACTGTACTGTGCTTAAAATGAACTCTTGA